CATTGTTTATATGCGATATTTCGTGATTAAACTCGTATGTTTTGCGTCAGATTGGTGACATGGCTATATTAACAGGAAGAAAGTGCCGTAAACAGAGTGCAGAATCTCGCGACGTTAAGCTAGAGGAAGCAACCGGAGGCTAACCGTGAAACATACGACATTAAAAGTGGATAAAGTGGTGCCGTTTACAGCCATTCTACATAATACTGGACACATTTTCTGTATCTGTCCTGATATTAGCTGATTTGCCTGCGCAGTATAAGTACAAGTTTCCGTAGTGTAGTGGTTATCACGTTCGCCTCACACGCGAAAGGTCCCCGGTTCGAAACCGGGCGGAAACACGTTTTCGTTTCTTTTCTTTTTTGTTTCTATTAAAATCTAAAACAAAAGAAAAACTTCTCCAGCCTAATTTAAACGTTGTATTAACAAATCCCCATAGCATACAAAAACATTACAAAAACACTCCGCGTTAAATTTTAATTAATGTAGTGAAGAAATAACCTTAAACAAAAACGACCAGAATTTACCTGTTGGCTAAAGGATTAGCTTTTAGCTAATTTATGCTAACAGTACCTCCGACAATTACTGACAAAACTGTGGAGGAGCATGAAAAGTGACAAAATATAGCAATTGAGAAAAAATAACTGAACGTTGAGTCTGTGTATGATTAATTTAATACCGCTTTGTACCTTTTATTTGTCTATGTTCCATCTGCTCTGCACTCAAATCTTTGCTAAGCTAGTTAGCTAAATTATTTAGCTACGTGTATGCATGTAGTTTAAGCTAAAGCTAATCACCAAATAAGAAGCGAGTGTAGCTCCAAGCCTTAATAAAAGTTTGTGTTATGCTTATTACAGACGTACCAAACTATTCAGTGATATTTGACCAAAAAGAAGGGGGAAAAAAACAACTTGGAAATCCTGTTATTAAGATTTACCTGAGGTTTTAAAAGCAGGTCAGTCTCCATCCGTTGTAGCAGCTTTGAATGAACAGTCATTGTTGCTGTAAAACTGCTGTTTGGGTTGTCTGCCTACCACGAAATGTGTAGACAAAGAAATCTTTACAGCATCCCAGACAATAAAAATAAATGAAATAAATGCAACTTGGTGAGCTGTGGTGGAGTCTTGACCTGCAATAATCATATTTGGCCAAAATCATCTTAATTCCGGACATGCAAAAATAAAAATAAATGTTATTTTACTCACAACTGAGTTTCTTTGACTGACTAAGACACCTGAATGCTTTACCTGGAGTCAGAGCATCATTTGGAGACTGCATTACATGTAGAGCTTGCAAAGTAATTAAACAGGTATTGTGAAAAAATATTTATTGTTGTCTAGCACATGCTCTCACATGCAAATCTAAGAGTTATCGATATGAGGAAAGAGACAACGAATGACAGACAAACAGAGATAACAGCTTGTAATGCTTCTTAATAATAACAGTGTTTTATTTGCTTGGTTTAGCAACTGTACATGTGTCTCCTTCCTGAGAATAGCGCTCGCCTCAGGGGAGAGGGAACAGCGAGCGAATCAGAGAGGGAGGAGAGGAAGACAGAGCTGAAGGGAAGGACAGGGAACAGAGGCAGACCGGAAGAAAGAGAAGGGATAATAATAATAAAAAAAAAAAGGTATAAATAACTCCAGTGGAGGGAGGTAGAAAGACGAGGGGGAGGAAAACAGGACGATACTTTAAAACCTCATCAACAAGGCCGGAGTTAACTTTCAGTCGAGTCAGTTGTAAATTAGCTAGGTTGGTTTATATATTCTGAACTCCTGGATGGACTACACTGAAGGATGTAGAGGGTGCATCTGAAAGCTTGTTGTGTCTTGTTGAATGATGACAAATAACTCACAACCTGACAATACACAGCGCTTCGATATACACAGCAAGCAACAACCATTGTGGGTTTTTTAAAACATTTTTTTCAGGAAAATTTTACAAAAACAGCCAATAAACTGTTGCTTGTTATTTTGTTACCGACTTAAAGAATTTTGAATGAAATGTTCCTTTTTTTGTCAAAAACAACTCATGTAGCACAGGTATCAGCACCTCCGCTGTTAATTAAAAGCCACCCTCCCTCCACTCGTCAGCTCTTTGTCTCCTCCGCTCTCCCCCTTTGTTCATCCCTCTCCCTTATTCACTAACAATTCATGCCTCAGAAATGTGTTAAAAATAGAGCTTCTTTGTATATTTACTATGTAAGTTAACTTAAAAAGTGGCCTGTGGCAGTTTTTTTTTTTGTTTTTAAATTATTTTTTTTTCCCCATAAAAAGACATTTAGTTGGTTCTTCAAAATTCAGCTTTTACGCCATCTCTTGGTGCCTGAGATAAAGAGGTCTATAGAAAGGAGAGAAGAGATGAAGTTATGACATTAATGAGCTTCTGAACTTCTGCTCATACGAGAGAAAGACTGAAAATCTAACAGAGACATACTGCAAGAGTCAAGGCTGAAATAGTAATAATAATAATAATAATAATAATTAATGATATAAAAGCATGTTTAAACAACAACATTATGAAATCATCTTCATTATCTTCTCATGCTGGCTCTTCAGTTCCAGTTGTTGCGTCCTGCATATTGGAGAGTGTAAGCCGTGTGTTTCTGTGGCGAATTCCGATGCGTCCATTCACCAAAACACCTGCCAAGTCCTTCAGGTGAGCCTCCGAAACCTTTATTTGATTCACTTTCTTCAGAGATTAAAAACGGGTGATTTAAAAATTTAAAAAAAAAAGAAAGAAAGAAGGGGGGAGGATCTTTGAGAATGTGTGATGAGAGAAAGAGAGAGAGAAGAGCGTTTCTCTGGATACAAAAGCCAACAATGCAAATTAAGTACAAAACAAGACAATATTGACCAAAACATGAGTGTTTCCAGAGAGAAAGGAAGTGGTGAATGTTTGAGGGAGGAGGAGAGGGGGGCTGATTGTTTCAGTCAGTCGTGTCTGCTGTCCGTCAGTTCACTGTTTTCACGTTTCCACCACAATGTCCATCCATCCATCTCTAATGAATTAGCCGAGCACACTCCGCCGTCTTCGTCGTCCTGCTTTCGGATGTGCTTGCGGCAGAAACTCGACAGGATCCCGGGCTAATGCGGGCGGGTCTGGTTGATCATCTTGAGCCGCGACTGGTCGATGACGTCCAGCAGGTTCTTGGCGTCGACCGCGAGGGCGTGAGCTGCCATTAGCATCTGTTTCTTGTAGTCCTTTTGTAAACTGTCCAAAATGCAGAGAACAGTTATGATGTGACCACTGACCACAAAAAAAAAAATACCGTAAATTCCGGACTATAAGCCACTACTCTTTTCACACGCTTTGAATACTGCGGCTTAGACAGTGATGTGGCTAATTTATTGATTTTTATGATTTTTACAAATTTGCCTCGAGATGAAAGTGACATCAAGAGCAAAAGAGAGACTGAGGAAGTGTGTGACGAAGTAATTCCGACACTGAAGAAGACGACTTTAGTGGTTTTAGTGTGCAGGAGGAAGATGAAGATAGCGATCAATGACTTTTCCTGGTAGGCTGCTGTTACAGGCACTGTTCAGAAAAAAGCATTTACGGTACGTATTTGATTAAAAGTTTAAAAAATTGTTCTCATGTTACAACGTGGACACCTGCGGCTTATAGACAAGTGCGGCCTGTATATGTACAAAACTTGTTTTCCTTTTTTAAAGATATTTTTTGGCCTTTATTAGATAGGACAGAGAGAGGGACAAGAAAGTATGGGGGGTAGAATGGGGGAAGGACCTGCAGCAAAGGATCATGAGCGGGACTCGAACCCACGACCGCCCCTGTACATGGGACGCCAGCTCAACCAGTTGAGCTATGGGGCGCCTCAACTTGTTTTCTTTTTAAAGTTCGTGAGTGCGGCTTATATTCAGGTGCTCAATAGTTCAGAAATTACGGTAACAGTCAAACAATTGCAATGTGTCTGTTCCCACCTTGTCATGACGTACTGCTGCGCCAGTTTCATCTTCGCTATCAACTCTGCCAGATCTGAATTCAGCAGCTTCTGGGCCATTTCAATCTGTGAGAAGAGAAACGAAATGTCATATGAGAAATAAGAATTTCAAGAAGAAGAATATATAAAATATTAGCGGCAGTTTCTGGCGAACTTTATTCAACACATGATACAAACAGCTGTAAAAAGAGTAACCAAAGGGCTGCGTACTGAAGGTGCACGGATACACGTTTTCAATTATTGGCCTCATTCTGTCTCATCTGAGGACTGTTTGGAAATATTTGTCACATTAATCTGACCCTTTGTTGTATCTGCTTGGGTGGGAGACGACACACTTTCATCATTTTTATTGGTTTACGTTGTGTGATCTCATGTAAGAAGAGCTTCAACCTGAGCAGAGGCCTGATTAGACTGAATAACAAACACCAGTGTGAGTGTGTGAATTTATCATTTAAGAACAGATTCAGCATCTGTTTTTTGTTATTCATACCCGTGCTGTGTGTCATGTGACGTCTTAAAATGTCATTAGTGAGCAAGAACTACAGAGCTGCTCTTCATTTCTTACATAATTTAAATATTTCTCCTCTTGTGGTTACATTTTGTGACCAATAGTTTGGATATTTTTTGTACCTTTTAGGATTTTTAAAGGGATTTTCCTCCGAGTTACCCTCAGGTACACGGAAGTAGTTTTGTTACTGCATGTGTGTGTGTGTTTACCTCTCTGTGTGTGCTGGCTGGCAGCACAGGAATCGTCTCGTCCACTGTTGCCAGTAGAGTCCTCAGAGCCAGACCCACCTCCTGCAAAACAAACACATTCACGTTTTCTTCATGCCGATAACGCCTCGATACTGACAAGGTCCTCAACGTTGATCTCATTTATTTTGAACGTGAATCCTACCTTGACCATGGGGACGTACTCCTCCGGTGCTGCAGGCTGAATCCTATTGGACATCTCGATCACAGCTTTAACCAATCCCGTCACATTCTCATACACTTTGTCGTTAGAGCGATCCAAGTTGGCGGTGGGCGGCGGGCTGATCTCCTGAGGCTGCAACTGCACCAACGGACCAGAGTCAGACAAACAAACAGCGACTGTGTTCACTTTCGTATTTGTAGAACTTTCTCGTCCACAGCTCTTTCACCTGCTGTGGTCAGGGTAAGTGACTCCAAGACCCAACACTAGGTGGCAGTATTTGCAAACACAAAAAACTAGAGGCACGGGGTGAGCGACAGGATTTCCAACTACACGGGGAAAATATTTCTATCCGCATGCGTTGGTCGCTACACACTAGATATCTTGACTTTTCTACAGCGAGTGAGGAATGTGTGGTTAGTACTGAGTGAAGATCAGCCTGCGTTAAGTGATTTTTTAACTCTACTCTGAAGCTCCTGACTGTTTGAGAAAGTCAATTTTACAAGCAAAAACACAGATTTGCAGCTTTAACGAGTTTTCCTTTAGTATTCCTGCTCCTATTGGTAAAATAAAAACACTTAAATTAATGTTTTTAAAGCTAGTGATAGGTGGTGTGGTGCAGCATTTAATGTGTAGACACAATCAGAACAAGGCTGGAGTGGTTTGTAAGAAAGATTATTGAGAAAACACATCAGCATTCAGCTTAATTTAGATGAAAAACACCCCAAATACTAGTTTGTAAATAAGAATTTTAAAGAATTTTTCTGTAACGCTCGTATACAAATATTATTTCAACAGCGAAACAAACTTTGGGTGGATGTTTATTCTGCACCAAACCCATAATCAGTGATTGATTTGATTAACTTCTACCTAAAGATGCATGATCAGACACATTGATCCGTTTACTACGATTCTACTGATCTTTGCTACAACATTTATGACATTAGCAGTTTTTCTTCACCAGAAAAAACACATTTAACTGCACAAACTTTACTAATGTCAGCCAGAGGTGTAGAAGCATGTGACTAGTGGCACTTTGAAAGGGAACTGGTGGATTAATGCAAAAACAAAAAAAGTGTCTCCGGTGAAGAAAAACGACTAAAATTCAAACTGCTAGATGGAAGTGATGGGAACTACTAGCTAACTAACACTACCATGATAACAGACACACACAGATCAGCTTACCCTCCACGGCTATGGGGAGGATTGGGGGGGGAGAGGAGAGGGAGTTGTGGTTGGGTGGATGGATGGGGGGTTTGAAAGGGAGAATGGTTGAAGGAGAGTGCGCAGGTTGTGAAAAGAGGAGACAGTGATGGATTGATAGATATGTCACAGTAATAAGTCAGAGCAGGAGGGTGGCAAAAAGGCAGAAGGGTTTTAAAGAGGTGATGGAGGGATGTTAGTGACAGAGGAGGGGGGAGGGAGTAAAAAGGGAGAGAAGAGGGACAGTACATTAGGGCAAAGCCAACCACAAGCAAAGCATGACATAGCACCGCATGCGACCCATCAAATCAAAAACTATCTGACCGGAACCAGCGTGCAAATTAATGCAGTAAAATACAGAACAGCCGGAGGTTCATTAAACCAAAGGAAAGACAGTTTGTTCACAGGAATAATCAGCTACACTTGATTCATTTTTCTGTTTGTGTGTGAATGCGTGTGTTCACCTTGACCCCCTCGTTGTAGCTGTCTACAGGGCACAGGTTGGCCAGGTTGGCCAGGTGGCCAGGAGCTCCAGGACGGGGCGGCTTCTTAGGAGGAGCCACATGTTCTGGAAAAAAGAGGCATGCTGGTATCATTGTTTTACCCAAGGAGGATGCAGCAGCGTAAAGCACACAACGAAGCTCCATCTACTACATGTAAGAGTGAAATACTGCACATTTTTACAGCTAGTTAGTCTAAGAAAATTAGATTAAACTACACTGTAGTACACAAAAAGCAGCTCCATCTTCACCTGCTAGAACTGCTCATATGTTAACAATAACCAAACATTGCATCCATTTTTATACTTTCTATTTTCTAACTGAAGCTCAATGTGTTCCTCTTTAAGTAAAGTGTTGAAGGCAGCACTTCCACCCTTTACTGAGTGTTTCTACAGTGAATTTAAAGTGTGTCAGCTTCCTCTCACCTGGTTTCCCTACAGGCTGGTAGATATGTTGGCTCCCACCCTGTGCAGAGATAAACACGCATACAAAAGGTAAATACCAGCATTTGTGAGAGACTTTCAGTTGTACTTTCTCTTTAAACGCTCATCCAAAGCGGTGCAGTTTTTCAATAGGGGACCAGACCTACACCAAAAGTAAAAGCGATACTGACTTGACAAGATAAATGTAAGACAATATGTTCACAGCAGCTATTGCCGACTGCCACTTCTTGCCATCAATGTCACCGTTCTGCTCCAAATTACAGCTGCTGAAATACGATCATGCTAAAGCTGAGATTTTGCCTGAGCTTCAGGATATTATAACCCTCGTTTACAGTAAATGTGCAGAGCGTCTGGGTTTAAAGTTCCCATGAGTCCTCTGTGGTCAAGTGGTTGGTATGTAGGCAGTGCCCTTCATGGCACACAGACAGAAATACTTCTTCTTCCAGTGTCTGCATTTCCTCTCTCTGTGTTTGTCTGTCAGTCAGACTGAATGCCTCCCTCTGGGTCCCCATTTCTTTTTTTTTCAGTCTTGCTCCACTTTTGCTATAATCTCTGCTACCTCTCCATTACGTTCTCTCTGTCTCGGCTCTGCCAGCATTTTTCTAACTATACTTAACCTCTGTTTGACCTGAGCATTCCTCCATCCATCAATATCCGACTTGAAGTCAGTCCAGCTTTGTTGCAGCTCAACAGAACGACGAGTGGATCTACTTTAAATCAAAGTAGCGACCTAATGTTCACATGCACATACATATAGATATATATACACAAATACAGAGTGACTGACCGGTGCTTGTAGCGTGCCGTCCTCTCTGTCGATGCTTCCTCTGCTGTTTCTGGACTCTGTTTTCTGTAGGGGGGAAATTGAAAGTAAGAAATGTAATATAAAAACTAAAACTAAGCATGCATTTGGAGGAAATTCAACAGAAATATGTGCACATTTTTCCAGGTACATTACACCAATTAAAGAAAAGAAAAATAAATAGAGTGAGTATTCAGAAAGAGACTCAAAATACGAAAACCAAGCATATTCAGTGAACCAGTCACCTGCAAGATAGAGAACCTGCAGATTTGGTGGATTTAAATTCACCCTGTAAATACCACCTGCAGTAGTTTATCATCGTACCTGTCTCCTCTTAACAAAGAAAACCACAAATACAGTCCTGCTCACACACAGTTAATTCCACTAATGAATCGTCCGTTAACAGTAATTTCACAGATTTTCCCCCCACATCTGCACTCCTAAAACCAAGCACAAGTCCAGCTCTCTCCCTCTCTCTCTCTGTTTCAGTACCGTTTTGGTGAAGCACGCCTTGAAGAGATGCATCCTGGGAGAATAGCTGCTAAAGAAGACGGGAGGAGGAATGCAGAGAGAGGAGGCCATCGAAAGAAGGGCAGAGATAGGGACCGAGGGTATAACAGAGAGAGGGATGGAAAAGCTTAAGACATGAAGACAGAAGCAGATTTTTTCAAAAAGTTGGTAGATGGAGCAAAGATATGCAGAGAGAAAGAGAGAAAAAGTGAGTCAGAGGAGAATGGAGGGGGAGGAAAAGACAGGCTGAGAAAGAGAGAAAGTTTTTCCAGAGCAGGAAAAGCTCCTCTGAGCCACAGAGACAAAATCCTGGAGAGAAAAGATCCAACCGCCTCACTCTTCCCTCAGCTTCTCCTCTTCAGTCTGCTCCTCCCTCCCACTCTTTCCATCTCCCTGCATCTCCCTCGCTTTCTCCCTCTCTCCGATGGGTGACTCCTCGCTCGTTCCTCCCTCTCCACCGCTCTTGCCAATCCCACTTCCTTTCTCCCTCCCTCTGTCCTCTGCTCTTACTTTCCTCGTCTCTCATTGCTTTTCTCTTTTCTTCCCGTTGATCCTGCGTTCATTAATCACAGAGTTCACTTGCCTTTTTCACCGGCAGGAATTCACTCTTTCATTACTTCTGCCATATAATATTCCAGCACACGTTCTCTATTACTTAAGCTCCACTTTGCTTAATCCATCCTTCATTTGTCTCCAGGCTGAAAACACCACTTGTCTCTTTCAACAGATCCGACAGCGGCTTTTAACTTGATTCAGAACGGGGCTCACATAGTGCACAATAAATGCTGTTTATCACTCAGGTCCAATAATACTTTAGACCAGAGCCTGAACTTATGGCACGTCCAAAAAAAATTATTAAAAGCAACCGTAGGAGTGAGCACATTTGCAACCACGTGTAGGAGTAGCTTTAGAACAACTCTCAAGTCCTCACATCATCCATCACATGTATTCTGAGGAGGAACAGCTAATCAGAGGATTAAACCTACTTCTACCCCACTGGTGATTCTCTTAAATCCTACAAGAAATGCTGTTCTGCACAACCATGATGTAAGTGAAAATTCTAAATAAATTTAATTTCATTTAACATTTAGTGTCTCCAGTAGTTAATAACATACAATTAACAAGTCGATATATTAACAGACAGATAACAGCTCGTAGAAAAGCAGCTCGATTTTCATGATCAGCGTGATAAATATGAACCCTGAACTTGTGTCTGAAGTAACTTGATAACTTCTGGGTTTTAATATAGAAACATGTCATATTTATGCAACTATCCATCCATCCATCCATCATCTATACACCGCTTAATCCTCACTAGGGTCATGGGGGGCTGGAGTCTATCCCAGCTGACTCAGGGTGAAGGCAGGTTCACCTGGACAGGTCACCAGTCTATCACAGGGCTTAGAGACAGACAACCAAGCACACTCACATTCACACCTACGGACAATTTAGAATCACCAATTAATCTCAACATGTTTTTGGACTGTGTGGGAGGAAGCCGGAGAACCCGGAGAGAACCCACGCTGCATGGGGAGAACTGGTGCTAACCACCGAGCCACCTTGCAGCTCTGGTGAAATAATATATATTATATATTTGAAGAGTTCATTTGCAAAAACAGATAACTCCATCTTCACAAACCTTCAGAAAACCCACTTTTCCATCGTCTACCTGAGACAACATCAATCAAACTATTTTTGTCATTTCTACTGAGTCAAATCCACTCAACTTCAGTTTGATTGATATTATCTCAAGCAAACAACATAAAAATAAGTTTTCTGAAAATCTACAAAAATGGAGTTCTGTTTTTGCAAATGAACTCTTCATTTCTATACATTATATTTCACTAGTTCCTATATTTAGATAGTTAGCATGTGCTAAATTGACCATCCCTCTTCCCCCTCCTCCATCCTCCTCCCTTTATCTGTACATGCTGGAATAGTGACGTGTGGATCAGTCCGAGCCACTTAGTTTGTTTCCCATTTAGATTTTTTCTTCAGTGCACATACAGAGTAGACAGCTAGCGTACTGTAATGAGTTAATCACTTTGTTAAATCAGTCAGGTACATTTGTGTGTTGTATAACTTTGTAAGGCCTTAAGCTCAATATTTAGTTTAATTTCAAAATTTAGTTAAACTTATTTCTCTTGTTTTAAATGTGCTTCACAAAAACTGTATTGGATTAGAACCACATACTTTGCCTTTAAGACGCAAGAAATCCAGACTTTTCAAAACCTCTAGGCCATGTACGGTAGAATCAGTCTATGCAACAACAAAAGCAATTGGTAATACTGTTAGTGACACTGTACGAGACATTTTTAGGAGTGGACGGTGGCCTACAATCTACAGCTACATAGCCACGCTGCTTTCAAAAATAAAGCACTATCTTTTTATTTTTGTGGCTTAACTGATGGTGAACTAACTGTAGTTCACTCTATGGCTCCATCCTTCAGCTGCTTGAGCTGCAGAATCAGTAGATTAGACCGAGATCTGCTTTTGAATTCACCACAGAGTTTGCAGTTTGTTTGAACTGACTTGCAATCTTAAAATAGTAGGACATCACTAGAAGTGAAAGAGTCCAATGGGCAGTAGACCTTCTTTGTTGTTTCACATGTCAAGAATTTGGTTATTAACTAATGTGAGAACTCCGCTTTTTCAGTTGTCCATTTCTACAGAGGATTGAGATCAGGCTCATCAAACTGCTGGGTCTTAATAGGTTTCTGCAGGTGGGTGCATCAAGAGAAAAACAAAGCCTCAGATGAAAAAAAATGTACATCCTGCCAAATAAGATATCAGCAATTCAGTCTGCCAGGTCTCCCCAGAGAGATTTCCTGTTCTGTGAAGCAATAAATGTGCACTTCAAACACTGCAAGCTGACCAGAGATATCTGTAAGAAGGCTGATAGATAAAGAGAGGGGACATCACTCCCCAGCACTCATCACTCACAAGTGTTTTTCTTGCTCTCTTTCTGTCTTTCAGCTCTTCTGTATTTGGCTAAAAAATGAAAACAGCCCATCAAGTCAACAGAAAAAAAAAAAAAAAGACTTGAGGAGAGAGGAAAAACAGACTTGTTTTGCAAAAGCAGTGTTTTGGCTCCTTTTGGGGATGTTTCAGTGTCTTATGAGGTAAATCAAGCACGCACAACTGAACCGGTTCAAAGATCTGAAAGAGATACTCTGGAATTCATCCGGCGAGAATCAAACACAGAAAAAGGTTTTTACCAAAATGAAGCAACGCATTGGTGATGAACTTGTTCAGATGATTTTAACAGTTTTATTTTGTTTTCAGTCCGTTTTACGCCACAGTTTTAGCCATAATGACAGAAAACTTGGATGACCATAGCATTCTGACCACAGTTTTGGATAAGAAGCCACTTCGCCTTCTTGAACCTCCTTGAAGGACAATCATATAAACACATCTTCTCTCATTTGCTACCGCATTCTCCACAGTGCACACGTGCTGAACTCACACATGGAAGTAACTCGGCATGTGCTAACACACAGACGGGGTTAACTGGCAGGTTGCAGGCAGCAGACCCCTGAACAATGAGCTAGTTAATCCAACAGCCTGTGTGGACATTCATTTACACTCAGATGTGCATCGAAAATTATTTAGGTTCCGTAAATCCCAGACAATTGAGTGCACCTGAATATAAGCCTCACTCAGTAACTTTAAAAAGAAAACATGCTTTGTACATATACAGGCCGCACTTGTCTATAAGCTGCAAGTGTCCACGTTGTAACATGAGATATTTACACAGAAAGATTTTTTAAAATTTTAATTAAATACGTACCAGTAACACACAAATAAATGCTTTTTGTCCGAACAGTGCCTGTAACACGGCTGGTTAAAAAACATAAACACTACAGTAACCTATCAAATCATTGATCGCTATCTTCATCTTCCTCCTGCACACTAAAAGTAAATTAGCCGCATCATTGTTTAAGTTGCAGTGTTCAAAGCGTGTGAAAAAAATAGCAGCTTATAGTCTGGAATTTACGGTAAATTCTGTAAAGTTTGTTTGATAAGTTTTAGGGGACTGGCATTACTTATCCTGGCATATGTTTTTAGGTCACCTACATCTCTGCAATGGAAGTCGCAGGCACAAAGTGTTATGATGACCCATGATAAGAATAACCAGCCTGAAAAATAACCTTTACGGATTGATACTAGAGGAGGAGATTTGCTCATAACATGTCAAACTGAAAAGTGAAGTAGCTCATATATATATAAATAAATCTGTGTGTATGTGTGTGTATTTAAATTACCATGAAGATCTCCTCCTGCTCCAGCCACCGCTGGTCATCCTCCATCTGTTGCTGCTGCATCATCAGCCTCTCCTCCATCTGCGCCTGGCCTACACATCCACCCTCCTGGAGAAAACACAAACATTTAAACTTTTTCATTTAGTAAGTCATTAACAAGCAGCAGCGTCTTGATTTAATGACAAACGACTGCTCAGACTGTACCATTATGACAGAGCGTGATCTGAAATACACAGGCTAGTAAAAATGTTTGCACGTTTCCTGACTGCTGTTACCCGATTCCTCCTGCAAGGAGCACTCTGTGGTCTGCTTAAAAAAACAACTTCACCGTGAGGCTGGAGCGTAGGCCCCTCACTACAGTGAAGCAACCTGCTAAGTTTAATCCAAACAAAATGTAAACTACAAAAACATGTTTTATGGTTTATCTGCCAATTGAATTGAACATGTATTTAGGTACTAAACATTCGCTTCAGTCATGTGTTTTCAGTGCATAATGGAGCTGTGGTATCAGGATTTGAGGTGAAAGCTCAACAATAACTCAAGCAATGAACAGCGTCTGACTCAAGATGTCACCAAAAACACGACGGCCTCTGAGAAAACATGACATATGTCCTTTCAACGGGTGTTCCCTGTCAAACGTGTCTGTGTGTACCTCCATGTTTGGGCTCCACAGTGCAGTATGTTCAGGCCTGTGCGGATTCCAGGAATCAGTCGGGGGGTAGCTGCCTCCTATGCCTCCTACACCACCATGGGCTGAAGGCTGGAGGTGGACAGATTGAGAGAGAGGCAGACAGACAGAGAGAAGAACAAAAATGATTACTGACGTAAAAAGGTAAGAGTGTGAAGTCTCAATTCTGCTGCGCACTTTGTGTTCTTGGCACTTGGAGAGCTCAGCACAAAGCCAATTGGCTCTGAATGACTGGAAGATTGTATCAGCTGTCATCAGTTGACAACACAGGAGTAAAAAAAAAAATGTCAACAGAAAGCAATAAACTGATAAAATGAGAAAATGTTAAATGAAAAACATACTATACACGAGGAAGCAAACCGTAAAATCCTCAACACTTTTCAATAACTGATGTGCAGTTTATCAAGCAGCACATTTGCAGCAACTTATAAGCTGCACAATAAACAACATATTTAGCTTATTAGGATATAGAAAAGAACCAGAATAGATCCAATCGTTCACCTTCCTTTTCCGTATTACTGAAAAAACTGCAGATTTTCCGAAAGTCTCAAAATCATTGGACATATTTATCAACCGGGGCTGCTTTTATAAATGTCCTAATGAAGAAAAATGTTGGCAAAAAAAGTACTCTGGAGTTGGCAATAAGCACACATCTCAAATATGCACAAAGACGGAGACTACCAGTGAGAGAATCCTACTGAGTAATCAGGGGATAATTGTGAATAACGCTGCTCATCCAAATATATAAAACACCGATAATAAAAAGAGGCCCTTTAAAACCCATTTGGGTGTGCAACACATTCCAGGATATGCAGATGAGTTACGATATGAAGTGGGACTTAAACAGCAGCTAGAATTATACACTCTTCATAAGGAGGAGGGAGAGAGCAGCTCATTGCCATAAGAGTTAAAGAGCGGCTTTGATTTGTGTGTCTGCGCGAGTGTGTGTGTGTGTGCGTGAGCGAGTGGCTTTTAGCGCTACAGGAAATGCCTGCTGTCTGCTCGGTTTATGAGGAGAGGAATAACTGCGCTCAAAGTCGCTCTCATTTTCTTCGCCTTCACATTTCTCTCTCTGACTTTGACACATGCAGCGCACGCTCGGTGTCTGCCTGACAGTCTGAGTTAACCCAGACTCGACACCGAGTTTCTCTTAGTTTGGTCTTTATTTTAAACGCAGCGTTCGACCTGGGACTCTCAGAAACCGACATTATTTCAATGGTTAAAAAGGATGATTTATAGAAGCTGACAGGAGAATTTTCCAGTGTGTAATTTATGGGTTTGTTTTTAAAATTTGCGATTAAATGAACATTTTTCTCCAGTTTTTCCAGACCGTAGCTTCCTTTACTGGACTTGTGGAGCTATGTCAGGTTTTGTTTGATGCTGACTGCCCTTCCACTGTGCCTCGACCAAAGATTTGTTTTGGCAACAAGAAGGTTTTGTTGTTGTATCCAAATTTTAGATGGCAAGAGAAATATGTAGCTGCATATACTATGTACAGAATATGTACACAACAAGATCTATTTTTTTCTGCAAACTCTCCAAATCCCTGAAACTAACACATTTTCTATCAATGTTTTTACAAACCACAATATAAAATATAGTGCATTTTGTAGATTAATTTCCTTTCCAAATGATTAATTATTTAAAATCCTAATTCCGAACATTACCATAAATTCAACAAGGAATTTTACAGTTTATGTTTATTTGAATTTCAACCCACAACACAACATTAAGCAGGAAAAACAGTGACTTTTCTTAAATATTAGGTGGCCTAACAGTGGTTTCTCTATTAAAGAACTGTGAATAGATGAATGTTTGGTCTTAAACACTCTAAAACTGCTTTCTGTATTCCTCCATCTTTCTCTGCATCACTGCACAATACAGCCGTTTACCACCTACAACCTCAGAGAGTCACATTAAAACAATAGCTCTGGCCAATATGAATGAGAAAGAACAGTGAAGCTCAGTTTCCTCACTGCTAAAGATGTGTGTGAGTGTGTGTGTAGTTTACCGGGAAGTGGTTGTGTTGCGGGCTGGAGAAGAAGCCTTCACTGGAGCGAGGGCTGGGGTAACCAGGTCTACTGGGCTGCAAACACAGAGATAAGGAAGGTTTCGTACTGAAATAATAGTGACGAAGCAACAAAAAAAGCTTCTCGATCATGAACAGTTCTTGATTCGTACTTTGGGCGGTGCTTCATCAGAACCTCCAGAGTCCCAGGAAACAGTGACCTGCCTCCTCATCTCCATTCGAAGCCTCTCCTCCTGCTGAAGCTTCTCCTCCTCCAGTATGGTGCTGCAGAAATCACAATATAACGTTGGCAGACGGACATTTATTTCACAGGTGGAGCGCATTTTCATCTTGACGGAAGGGCAAATGTTAGCAGGAAAACTCCTCCAAACGTGTTTTTCAGCACAGAATAAGAGACGCGATGACAGATATTCATTAATCTTTAGGAAAGGGAGGAATGCAATGGAAAACACGACTGGGAATAATTGAGATAAAAGCTAACTAGATAACTCTGTTGACAGTAGTGATACCAAACTATCATGTCTAAGGCTGGATAGCTGTAATCATAAAACTCTTAATATATGTAAATCACTGTGTAAAGCAAAGTATTAAAGTGCTCATTTTGTTTACTGCCACTTTAATCCATATTGGCTTTGAATCTTTAGTTTTTTTTAATCACCACCATTGCGCAGTTAATTCAATTATCGGATAATTACTACAATAAATAAACTGGAATATGAATGCTTACTTGATATACTGCTGTGTAAAAAACATTACACAAAGCAACTTTAAATGCAGAAAAACGTTCACTAAGCACTGAACTCACTGGTATGAAATTACTATAGTATGTGTCTAACTGGTTGTACTAGTAATTAATATTTAACGTATGAAACAACACTTCTTTATACTTCTTCTTCTTCCTCTTGTTAGTTTTTTTTTTTATTTTTTTTACCTGAGTTGTGTTTTCAGCTCAGTGAATCTCGGCCTCTTGCTGGGATCATACGACCAGCATTTGGTCATCAGACTGTAGAGGGTGGGCGGACACTGGGGGGGCATCGCCAGCCGCTCGCCGTTCTCTATCCTGCCGATCACGTCGTTGTTCTTCACCCCTTGGAAGGGCTTGATGCCGTACATCAAGATCTCCCACATGCACACACCTGCAGAGAAAGATGCAGATGGGCAGTGCTGTTAAAGAAAGACCGATGGACACAAACACCACCTACAAAACCAAGTCACAGCAACATATAGTGCATATAGACACACTTGAAAGAGATGGTTAAAGAGAATTAGCAGCTCCAGCAACAGTAAAGTCACAATTCTCGTACAACAAGGCATCACCGTTACTCACCAAACATCCAGACGTCACTGGCAGATGTGAATCTCCTGAAGTTGATTGATTCAGGAGCCATCCATTTAATGGGAAGTTTACCTTTAGAGGCTGAGACACAAACATGCAAATGAGCTGCAGAGTTCAGACGACCAATAAGGACTATTTTCATATCTACAATACATTCAGCTGTTGGGTTGCTGGTAAACTGAAAGCAGAAGGCGCTGATTTGGTAACATGCTGAATAATAGGTGACTGATCTAACCTGAAGTCACCAGTAGATGGTGGTAAAGTATTGGCAACTAGAAAACATGGTTATAAGTGCAGTTACTCTAACTGGGAACACTGATTGATCTCAGGTCAACATTACTCACTACATTGTTTTCTATGAAGAGCAGGAAAACAAACAGAGTTCATTGTGGAAGTTTAGGTCACTGAAAACTGCTTCAGATACATTTAAAATTTGACTGAATGAATGTTCTGCATCATATCAAAGCTGTGGACTGTGTGTGTTCAGACGTTTCATTACCTTTGTAGTAAGAGCTGTCCTCCATGTATCGCGACAGACCAAAGTCCCCGAGCATCACACAGTCAACTGAAGACACCAACACATTACGTGCTGCTATATCCCTATAAAACAAAAATGTACCGTTTGTTAAATTTATATTTTTTACCAACTAAATATCTGTTAAAGAGCATGTCGAGTATACTGTGGCTGTGTCAGACCATTCTGTATTTGCTATAAGATGTGTGTTTCTCTCTTTCTGTGATCAAATTTGAGAGTCTGAACTGCAAAAGTTAAATTTATGTATCACCATAAAACGGGATGAAAAACGTGCAGCGCATCAACATCATTTTGTTTTGTTTTTACAGGACTCACAAAGCAATGCGTCACCTTTGACACGTGTGAGTATTAGTTATATAACACCACACCTGTCAGCGATGACGCAAAATGGTGATGATTCATAAGTGTCTACAATCTCAAATTCCCACTCACTGTTGAGTAACTGCTGTCTATTTCCGTGAAGGAGTGTATGAGGAAGGCATTTTAGTGCATGCTGTCATAAAAAGCAACATAACATGATTCTCCTTATTATATCAAAAACCAAAACTCTTGTAGCTGTCCAGGTTAAATAGTTAGACATGTCTTTTTAATCAGTATACTTCTATCACAACAATAATAATATAAATCTGATAAATGCAAAACCATAATCTGATCCCAAACAAGTGATTTAACCTTATCAGTTTGAGTGTGTGCATGTTTACCTGTGTACAAAGCGTTTGCTCTCCAGATAGGCCAGCGCTGTACTGAGCTGGTAGGCAAACAGAATGAGCGTGGCCAAGTCGAGACTGTACTTCCTCACCTGAAGGAACGAACGGAGCTACAAGAGGAGAGAAAGATGGACAAAAAGGCAGGAGGTGGATGACAGAGGTACAGTTGTGCATAGTGTATATACTGTGATGGTAGTATGAGGTGTGTCAGAAAGGATCCAGGACTGGTGATGTATTTTAAACCCAAACTACGAACTAGGAGTTTTCCTCTTCAGATGATCAACCAGCTCGTCTACAAAGAGATCCTGCGGCGTTTGCTTCGTTCAGACAAGAGACGAGAGTTGTGGCAGGATGAGTCGTGGCTGCTTCACCATAACAATGCGCCTGCTCACAACGCCCTGAGCATCCCACAGTTCCTGGCTGAGAAGAACATCACCGTGCTGGAGCAACCTCCCTACTCACCCCACCTGGCTGCATGGGATTTTTTTCCTCTTCCCCAAGCTCAAGGGGGTCATCAAGGGGACCCGTTTTGAAGACGTGGATGACATCAAGATGGCTGTGACGACGGAGCTGCGGAGGATCCTGGAAGAATCCTTCCAGGAGTGCATGGCGGCGTGAAGAGAAGGCTGGGGAAGTGTGTTAGACTCCAGGGGAATTACTTTGAAGGGGAAAACTTGTAGTTTGTAGTTTGGATTTTAAATACATCTTCTGTGACACCAGTCCTGGAACTTTTCTGACACACCTCGTATAAGCACTTTACAGACATGGGATATGGAACATTGCTGGCTTCATCAAGCCATTAAAATATGTCATTCTGTTATTCAGACATAGGTCACTTTTCTGTTCATGTCCCTCATGACTTCATTTAGACTTCCCCACCACAGGGACAGTACACCAAGGACTGATCAGCTCTACATGCTCTCTCAGCAGCAATTTATAATTATAAGAATTTAATGGAGTCACTGGTGCTGTAATTGTTTCTTTGAATCCTGCTGCTGCAGGTACTTAATAAACTCAGAGGAAATAGTTCTAAACACCTGGAAGCAACAAACTTCAGTTCCTGTCTTGTAGAAGGAAAAAGAACCTGGATTACATTCATTATTAGTGAGTGCTGTTAACTTAAGCTGTTAGTGTCAGTTTTTTCACAGTAAAGTATTATTATAATGGACATTTCATTTTACAGTCTCATAGATTATTTTGTAGTAAATGCTTCGGACAAATATTGATGCGTAATTGATGAACGCCGTCCCTAAATAACTTCACACAACTCCAATTTTAAACTCGGTTTAGGCAGTTCTGACCAGAAAAAAAAGTGACCAGAGGGTTCACATTCAGACATAAATCCGGAACATTCAGATAAACGTAACGGGGGCTTTCTTGTGTCAATGCATGCAATCCTAAACAATGCCTTTTGATTTTAAAGTCTTCTCAGGTGAGGCTTTTCTTAGGTGCCTGCCATCCCAGCTAATAAGAAACAACACACTCTTTCACAGCCTGAGTTGTACCTCTCCAAGAGTGCAGAGCTCCATGATGATCCACACAGGGTTCTCTGTGATCACTCCGATCAGCTTAACGATGTGAGGGTGGTCGAACTGACGCATCGTTACTGCAAGGAAACACAAACCCTGTCACACGCTGAACTGCTGATCTGTGTGAAGCAGAGAAGTCGACACACAAGTTGAGGAGGTCTTACGTGCTTCTTGTAGGAACTTTTCTCTGACGCTGTCGGACGTACAGTTCTTACAGGTCTTGATGGCAACAGGTAGAGACGGTTTATCCTGCACAGCACACGCACAGCATGAAGTTGGTTAAAATCAGTATCACAAAATACATTTTTTTTGCAAATTTCTGACAAAAATCTGCCGACAGATTCATTCGTGTGTTTTCAGAAAGTGTGTGTGTGTGTTTTATACATACTGGACTGTTGTAGACTCCTTGGTGTACATCGCCAAACTGCCCCTCTCCGATGCAGCGACCCAACTCTATCCTGTCTCTCTGGATCTCATAGTCCCGCGCTGAGAGGAAGGACGAGAGGAGAAAAGAGAAAACAAGTGGAAAGAGTAAGATAGATAGACTTACCTCATGTTTTCCATACACTGGAAAGACCCTATCACGTTTGACATGCTTTTCTTTTCCACCGCGTGGATGGGGCTTAGCAGGACAAAAATATTTGGACGGTGTCAAGTCATTGTATCACGGAAAAGTCTGCAGCACCGATAAAACACTTTTAAGGTGCTTTGAAATGATTTCCAACTTTCTGGCAGGCAAATTGTTGTCCTTTTAGGTAAACCCCATCCACTGACAACAAGGTGAAAATAAACCATTAACAACATATATATTTTGTATGAGGATTGTAAATTCAGCATCCTGTTGATTCCCCAACACCTCGACCCAACTTAACATGCACTCTGCAACATACATTTCCAAACACACCAACGTACAGTAAAACCACTTAACAGGCAAATGGAAGCTTCACAAACATGCACACCAGAGTCCCATTATCATTTCTGCTTCTTCTTGTTCTGACATAATGAAAGCAGTTCTGAATAAAACGATTAATTGAACACCAGAGGCACTATTTGGGGGTTAGCGAGGTAGCTTCAGGATCAACTCAGAACTATGATGGTGCTTCTCTTCTTATCAGGGTGCATCACCATAGCAACCTTTACTTCACACCCAACCTGCTCCGGAGAAGTTTTTGTTTGAGATAACACATCAGCACTCAAAAGAACTTTTTCCTTTCCTTTCTTTTCTTGGAAAATGGCGTCACCATTCCTGGAAGATCCCTTGGAGCTCAGTGAGAAGGGAAGATTTGAGTTCTTAGAGACTGCCTTCCCCTTTGGCTTTATCAGACGAGCACAGATATTAGATTTAAGCTATTAGATTTACAACAGAGGGATCTCCAGTCTTCTTTGCTTGAGTTATTTTTTCCTGTTGGCTGCAAACAATTTAAAACAATTCTTCTATAGGCCTTACAGCAGTAAAATAATAAAACAGAGACTGATTAAAGCACTAGAGTTCTGTGCTAAAAAAAAAACGATGTAATATAACTATGTATTGTTTTGAATTATGTTTTCATATTTGTCCTTTACTTGCTCCCGAGCCTCTTTAACACCACCAGGGTGCCAGCAGTACGAATAAGGCTCAAACTGTCTTACACTGCAACTAAACAGCATATTAATTTAATGTAATAAGCAATTGTAATTATAGTCAGATGTACTCGTTGACATGTTTTTACCAGATTTCCTTCCTGGCGTTTGCTGCTACAGCTGTGTTGCCTTTTGAATGTATTATATTTTTGAATTCGTCATATTGGTTTCGAAAATCTGCAGCTCTACACCTGACCAACATGCTCACAGCTTGGTTCAGAAACCCTCAGGTGACTTAACAAGTAGCAGTCATTAGACTTAGTGAAGCCAGAAAACTTAAAAGATATCCTGGGAATGCTGAACTTGCCATGTAGTACATGCCTCTGGAGAACATGTAAACATCAGGACCCCATTTCTAAAAAACCTGCAAAGCAGAAAAGAACACCTGGACCTGGTTGTGGGTCTGACCAAAGGCCTGACGTGAACAGATGCACCAGGTCTTAACTGTATTCAGTATGGTCCGTGCCTCCACTAATCTTTTTATACTCGGTGGGTATATCCAAAAGAACTTCAAAGAAACTGCTTGGTTTTCCAACTGACAACCACATGCTTTGACATTTTTAACTTTTGACATTTATGCGTTATCAACATTTCCGCCTTGTTGAAAAGGTCAGGAAGCATTTGTGCAGAGGTGTATTAATGTCAGCTGGCAAACGACTGCAGTAAAAAACGGGCTAAAAAGAGAGTTCAGCAGGTTTATGTAGGAAGATGACCACCAGGAACTTCCTGTAAAAGTTTAATTATCTAGCGTGCTAAACAAAGCTCTGCTCAACAGACATTTTTACAGACTCCAGCAGCGTATCCGACCAGTTCAACAGTAACCAGAACGCATTCCATCGCAAAAGATTTACTGCGATTAATCCATACAGCAATCCACTTTCATGAAACTAATAATTGCTTCACACAAAGAACCCACAGAGATGTGAAACAACCATGACGACAAATTAAAAAAACAAGAAATAAAGACATCCTAACAAACGGATGGTGCAACAAGAACCAAGCCAATAAACAACACAAATGCTGTGAGGTTGTTTAGCTCGACAGTTCTGCAGAGGCTTCACGTTTACAAATTCTGATTAAATTATTAATGACGAAGCATCTTGCTTTGTTTATGGATTGGTTCTCCCTGTCGGTTCCAACACCTGAATTCACCTGCGTGAACTGCGGGCTACAAAAACACCAACAATCACAAGTCAACTCAACGTAAGACACCTTGAGTCTTTGTGTTTTTCTTTGCCAGGTAATAATGCTTAAAGAAAAGATGATTCTCAACTACTCTACCACCTCGTGTAAATCTCTGATTATCAAGTAACAGCCTTCCACGGTTTTGACTTTAATGGAAGATGCAAACAAAGAAAAACACCTGCTCCTACACTTGTACTCTTCCCGCCTGGTAAAGAAAAACACTAACAAGAACTCAAGGCAATAAAATGGGACAGAATGAGAGAGACAGGGAGTTTTACCTTCAACTACTCCATAGCTCACTGTGTTGGCGATGGGAGAAAGAGGAAGAAAGAGAGATGAAGAGAGGGGGAGAGCCAGACAGCTGCTTTAGGATTGAAAATAGCTCAGAAAGCGCGCACACACACACACACACATATACACACTGCAATAATTGACCAATTTCACTCTTTATCTGATGTTTAGTTAATAAAGAAGCAAACTAATGAAAAGCTGGGCTCATACTGCAGCAGGATTATTAAAAGAACAGGCTTGCTTTACAGTTTTACAGATTTGTTTTACACATACAGCAGACAGCATGACATGAACACACATACAAACTGGGCACAGTGGAGGAAAATATGTCAGAAGTCTGCAGAAAGTCTGATTAGAGGAAGTCCAAAAAAAGCAAAGCGAAAGAGACAAAGAAATAAAGGCAGACAAACACGGCAAGACAGAACAAGACAGAAAAAGACTGCGGGAGGAAAGGAGGACGCAGTCCATTTTCAAAGCTGGCCACGCAATCAAACACATGAGTACTTGGTACTGGCCAAAACATCCACATTTAAAGAACTGGAACAGAGGGCTACAGCCACCATTACTTAAAAAAACTACAGCCAAATGTACCAGAACACTCAGGGTTTTTGACGAACATATGAATGAATCTGACAGATGTAACGTATCTCCATGAACCACACGCACACAGAGACTCCGGCCAGTGACTCTACTGTTTATAGAAGATGAAGAAACTGGCCAGAATTTGATAGCCGCTGCTTAACCAAAAGTGGTTTAATGCAACTGCTCTCATTCGCTGTACGAGTGTGCTTCTTGGAAATGACTCACACCGCACTCAGATTATTAGGTAGCAGAACAAAATTAACATTTGTTTGAGAAGCATTTTCACAAAAGTATAACAGTGAAACTATACAGCTGTCAGAAGTGGATTTTTAGGTAGAAAAGACTTCAGCTGAAAGGTAAAAGAGAAGACTGATTGAGTGACTTACTGGAGGGCATGGTGTATGTGTCCTCTTCATCAACTATCTCTGCATAGTCATCAGTCTCTGTAACATCACACACAGAAGCAGTGTCAAAATACAACAAAAAAAAAACAAGATATCACACACACAAACACAAATATGACACACATGCACAAGGCTGGTTTACCGTGTGTCCACTAAGACAAGAAGACTTCCCTCATACACACTCAAAAGCAGCCAAAAAAGCTAGCTCAGAGTTTCAACAACTCCTGCGCAAAGCAACACCCATGTAGCTCCTCGCTCTCCTTCTCCCTCACCCGCTCTCTCCCTCTCTCTCCCTCTCTCTCTCTCATACACAAACACTTGGCGGAGAGCGTCAGCTGAGCATGTGTTGTGAATATCTGTCTGTGTGAGAGCAGCTGGATTGCAGGGAGTTACTGTGGAGGAGGAGGAGGAGTGAGGAGGAGTGAGGAGGAGGAGGAGTGGGGGGAAAGAAGTAAAAAAAAAAAAAAAAGAGAGAGAGACAAAACTAGGGAAGAGAAACCAGTTGGAAAAAGAAGACAAAAAAAGAGAAAGGGAGACATATAGGTAGGAAGAGGGAGAAATATTGGGTCTAGCTGTCATGTAAGCAGATGGTAGCGTTTAGGATCAAATCTGTGCAGAATCCGACAGATAGGCCGAGAGAGAGACAGGAGGGGGGCAGAGAACAGAGCCAACAGGGGGAAAAAAAAAAAAAAAAAGAAGGAAAGATGGACTGAGTCTATCCTAACCAGATGGTGGTGTTTAAAATAAAATCAGTGTGCAGACTCAGCTGTTGGAAACAAGAGTCCAACATCTGCTGTCCTGAACGCTCCACTCACAGCTCTGCTCGGGATTTATCAGGCTCTGTGGGAACGTGTCCCTACATCTATCAGAAATCCCTTCCTAAAGCCCGTGGCTGATTTTCTCAAGAAACGTCTCTAAAGTCTGACATGTAGGGCAACGACTGGCAAGCTGTTTAGTTATTTAAACAAGGCGGGCTAAATAATAGAGCGGATGGCAGAGATAGTAGGACATTTGGGGAAATGTGCTTATTTGCCCTCTTGCTGAGAGTTAGATGGGAAGATTGATGGCTCTCTCATATCTGAGGTAAATTTAAAACTACAGCGAGGGAATCGTACGTCTAGACCAGCTTAGAGCGTCTCTTAAGCTGAGTCTTTAGATGGAGCCAAACGAGCCCCCTGTCTTCCATTATTACTGCTGTTACTAAGAGGTTGGAAAAAGTTTAACTTTTAATCAAACAGGCATGAGTTTTATTAAACCATTGCTATGCGCGACTTATGTTTCACATGAGAGGAAAGGAAAGCCTTTAATGCGCCTCTAAAAATATCTTCATATGAGCGAGAATAAAAACAACATTTCTGCTTAGTCTGCTGCTGCTGCAGCTAAAATGTGCTTCATTAGACAAACTGATCATTAACATGCAAAAAGATGCTTTTTTTTCCCCACTACATTTGTTACTGATAAAACCCATTTTACCAACAAAAACAGCTTATTCCTTTTATAAGTGTTGTTTTTTGTTGTTTTTCTTTCCTTTATCCAGCCAGGGCTTATCACAGGTTCCATATGGGCAATGAAGTAAATGTCTTTCTCATTTCCAGCTTAGTCTCCAGCTTCTTCTAATTTAAATCTGCGCTAAACAGTTTCTGATCTGCAGAATAAGAAATATTCTTTTTGCTAGATTTGTTAGCTTTTACTGAGAGGGCCATTGTTTGTGCACATTCAGGCCTGAGCGGTTTGGGATATGTTCTAAAGAAATGACCATTTCTAAGTCTGACTAGTCTAACTCGGTCTATTTCTGCTTTCAGTAGCGGGAATGTGTCTGTGTGTATGCGTGTGTGTGCGATCTAGCTAGCCCATTATAGCCAGGAATGCGCCCGCTCTCGAATCCAGCAAACCTCTCCCTACTCCACTCTGCGCGTGCACGAGTGTGTGAATGAATATATGTGAGTACACGTGTGCATGGCGTTGCGTGTGCGTGGCTGTGAGCTTGTGTGTGTGTGTGAAGCCTGAGAGAGAGAGAAAGAGAGAAACTCTTGCAAAAGTTCCCTTCAAGAGAAATACCGCTTAATTTACAAAATTCTGCATTTTTTTGTGCCCTCCTTGTGGTTAAAAGCCGACATATTTCAAATTTAGAGGTATAAATAGACAAAGACGCAAAACACACAAACATCTTTAAACGCTGAAACAGAATGCCACTCGAGCAACTAATCGACTTGGGTGATTGAAACAGATCCCCAATGATCACTACATCATTCTGTATTAGTTAAATCGCACTATGTTTACAATACAGAGCACATGTATTCGTAGAGCCGTTGTTAAAGAAGTAGGAATGCATGCAGCTTCAGCCCACACATGCTACCCTCTCCTAGGAGGGCGCAGCGTGTAGGTTGGAGCGGGACAAGAAAGAAAGAACAACAGAGAGAGAGATATTTGATAAACAACAGCGTAACTTTACCATCCCCGCTAAGATCTTCTGCAGGGTCCAGGAGAGCATGCAGGAAACGGGACAGCAGAGGAGGAGGAGGAGGACGACAGACAGAGACGGCAACGAGGAAAGAGAGAGAGGAGAGAGAGAGAGAGAGAGAGAGAGAGAGAAGCAGAAGGCAGAGCGGTGAAGAGAGGGAGAGAAGAGAGAGAAAAGAGAGGTTAGAGCATGACAACATGGGCGATGTAGCAGGATCTGCAAAGCCAAACACTCGGCGAGCGGTTAGTTAAAAATCCAAACACTTGTGAGGGGAATAAAAAGCAGAGTTAATACCTTTGAGTAACGCCGTGCTGACACATGAAGGTAAAATCAGTGACAATATGCAAGGCGATGTCTGAACTCTCAGATGTTCTGTGCGTCAAGCTGTATATATCTCAGAGAGTTAACAGATAGATAAGAGGATGCAGCTGAGTTTAACGTGTGAGTTTGTGTGGTGTAATGGAAACAGTGAGTGCTAGTTACACCTGGTCACGGTTTCCTTAAACATTAACGCTCAAAAGACTCTCAGAGCATCTTAAACCCCGCAGGAGGAATTAATAATTGACAGTTCACTGCGGTTTTTCTTTGTTTTAAAGCCTATAATTCCAACATATGCTCCCTGTTCTGTGACATTTAGGACAGAATGAGACATAAAGTGCAGTCTGAATATAAGAGAATGAAACTGAACTTAGACAGTAAAAGCGTTGAAGCTATTCGTGGCAGCTCTACTGACACACAGAAGCTCGCATTAAAAAAGTCTAAAGCAGTACGTCCACCGTGGCTGTGCATCACGTTTGGAGCCTCAAGCGAGAAAAAAGATTTTGGACGGTTGTTAAAAGTTTCAACAACGAAACAGCTGCTGTCCAGATTCACCAGTTTCTCATGAGCGGCCCTGTAAGCTACTGACAGCAGCTGCCACGGCCACAGATGGAGACACAAGGTCAACCAACGTGTACACGCAGTAGACCAGCGTTTTCATTAACATGAATCATAACGTCGTTTCTTGCTGCAGGACAACATCGCTGAGCTGGTAGTGATTGAGTGATTGCTTGAAAGCCCTTTAGTACGGCATTAACTTGGTCCTGGAATCTTTTCATGGAAGAACGGCCTCTCTAACCACTTGGCCGCTTCGCTGCGAATTAAGCTCTGCCACTTTGAATTAGCTGACATACACCACTGAAAATAATGATCAAAAATAACCAAAATGTGACCTCAGCGGCAAGGCGTGTGCTGAACGGAGATCTGACAAAACCATTTTATTCTGTGTGTCAGTAGAGACTACTGCCAGTCACTTCATTCTGTTAAATCAAAGTCGGGCTAAAAGGAAAATACCTTGTCAGTCGAAAGACTCCAAATTGAATACTTGGACTTATATGTGAGAGCCTCAAACTGGATACTGACAGTAGGAAAAACTATTCATAATGCATCAAAAACACACATGAAGACCAGGAGTCCTTGTTGTTCATGTCCGATTCTTTTTTTCTTTTCTGTTATTGTGGTTAAATTGTGAGTGTGCAAGTCTGAATAAGTCAAAGCAACCAGGTAGTGAAGACAAAGACAGTTTGGTAGAAAAGCGCATACTTAAAAATAAGGCCGATTGTGATGCAGCAGATAAGTGTTGAATCCACAAATGTATTTAATTTGATGCCCAAAAACGTTGGTAATTCCAACAAAAGCTGCCATATGTTGACTCTAAAAGCTTTCTTGGCCAAATCCAATCAAAAAAATAAATAAATCACTTTAAAGAACCACTTTTCTATTTATATTTCACAAGTACTGTGGATTACTCCCTCTGAGGGTTTTCTATACACCGTGTGTGTCTTTAATGCCAAGTAAAGCTAAGCATAATCATCAAATCAGGAATTTGCACTCCGCCACATCACAATTTTGTGGATATGCTCCTCTACTAACTGTCCAATAAGAGCCGAGGATACCATTGGGCGGCGAATCTGAACAGAAGACAAAGGGGAGGAGGAAACGCCGCGCCTTGGTTGGCTTAGGAGGTGTCGATGTCACTAGATCTTCAGCCAATAGGGCGGGTGAAGAGGACCAGAGTGTGAGAGAAAAACACAAGAGTGAATGGATGCGAGTGATCGCGGAGGGAGATGAGACAGAGGGAGGAAGTAAACAAAAGAAAGCAGAAACAGAAAGGATGGGACCAGAGAGAGGGAGAGGCAGTCCCAACAGAGGAGAAAATGGGATGAGATGGAAATTTTAAAAAAAAGAGCGACAGACAAGAAACAGATGAGGTGAAGGAAATGGAGAGGCCGAGTAAGCTGTCAGACTGAGCTCACCTTGCTCCTAAACCAGTCGATTTTTGAGCGTGACTTTGCATCTTACCTGAGACAGAGATCGCTCTTACTCCGCTCCTGACTGCTTCTAACTTTTTCTCATTATTAGACAGTCTACAGAAGAAGGAGAGGAAAGAGAGAACATTACACAGCAAGTCAAAGACACGCTAATAAAGCAAGACATGCCTCCTTAACATTTTCAAAGCAAGATCTCGTAAAAAAAAAAAAAAGAACAAACAGTGGGAGCTGCTCTCCACATGTGCACGCAGCTCTCGAACATGGAAAACTCGACTGTGACATGTGTAAACTAATCCTTACTGTTTTTATTATGTCTCTCTCCCTTTGCCGTGGTCTCTGTTTCTGTGTCAGCTCAGCCCTACTACTATCTTTACATCACAGACCACAACAGGCGAACGGAGAGGCGAGCGAAGAGAGCGAGAGACTGAGAGAAAGAGGAGGAGACTAGCAGAGTGTTTAAAAACCCTAAGTGGAAAATATTTGGCTCCTGAACTTATCTCCTTATTTGACCAGAGGCACAGAGAGAGAGAGAGAGAGAGAGAGAGAGAGAGAGAGAGTGAGAGAGAGGAAGAAAGGAAGGAGAGAGAGATTTGACTTGAAATGACTAAAAGTAAGCAAAACTGTTTGAATTTAAACAAGTGACAGTGAAATGTGGATCCGCAAATGTTCGGGCGGCAACGGTTAGAGTTAAACAAATACAACGAGATCTATGTCTCATGTTTCTCCTAAAATATTTTATAGACTTGAAGCCAAAACCCCTAAAAGGCTCATTTGCCTTAGTTCACATTTTCTTTTCACAGATCTAAAAGGCTTCTTGAAGACCTATAAATTCCTAATTAACCACAACAGAGACGACTACATGATTTGGTGCTCATCAGATTGAAAAATATGAAATTCATTTTTTTTTATAAAGAGGTAGGTATTACTTTGTTCTTTAAATTTCATGAATTTCTTGTGGCTTGTATACAAATTTCAACTTTTTTTTATGTTCAGCTGACCTGGTATGCGCTCAGTAAATTACTTTGTTTTATTGCAGCAGTTAGAGTGCCTATTAAACATATCGCATTTCTTAGTTCTTTCCAGGAAATTTCTTGGAAACAAAACAGGGTCACAAAAAAAAAAATACAACTAAAAACAGGCACAAAACATACAGCACAGAATTAACTATTATGAAAATTAACACAAAACTAAGCCACAAAGTCAGTGTTCATATCAAAACACAGAACAAAGTCAGATAGACAACTCAAGCCATTTTATAAAATAATGCTGACCTGAACTCTGAAAGTCCTCTTTGTTGTTAAGACCTGACAATGCTGACTATCTGTACTCAGGAGTTGCCCACTGATGATGATACTGCACATGCTGTATGTCGCAGCTTCAGCAGCTCAACTTTACAATCACCGATCTCTAAAGTCATCACCATCCCATTAATACTGTATCGACACAGTCAAGGTTTCCTATTAAAAATGTCAGTCACGTGTGTTTACTCTGTTCATATTTTAACAGCAGATTCTCTGGAAAGCAACCGTATAAACAAAGCTGTTAAACTGACACTTCCCTGAAAGTCGTTGCACATACAGTGATTTAGTTCCTCCTAAAAACAGACGCATAACTCTGACCCTTTTACTTTCAGAAGATCTCTGCCTTCGAGCACATTTTAATGAAGAGCTGCATGAAGGCTCTATTTGTCATTACAGTTAGCAAAAAATAAATAAATACAGTTACTGGTTCAGCAGTGTGCAACGTCTTTACTTTTGCAAATATAAGCATTGAATGGTGATTTGAGTTTTAGATCTATGTGAAAGGACAGAAGTAAACCACTTCATACAGCAGCATCGCATGTTTGTGTCCTACAGTCAGAGAAATTCCTCCTCTGTGGACTTAAAGCTCCGATATGAAATTGTTTCTAAGCTTCGTTCGCGGGACTTTTAGTTGAACAATAACAAGAATGAGAGAGGTACTTACTTTGGGATGGAAGGCAGCGCTCTCTCTCCCTCTAGAGGACAAAAACACACATCGAGATCAAAAAATGTGCCCTGAATAGTGATCCATCATACGAGAGAAGCATGGTTGTTAATGCAGTGTAAATGATTCTATACAGCCTGAGAATAAGAACTTCTGTTAGAAACACTGACACTGCCGATAGATCATTTTAGATATATTTTGCGCTCTATTGTCTGTAGAATTGACAGGACTATCATAGTGTTTTAATGTTCAGTAAAAAAAAAGCAGCAACAGAAACAGCTCTAATGTCAAGATAAGAAAAAAAAAGTGAGTAAAACACATTACAATTCTTTGAAAGATATTGTTGTGTATTAATGTTTATTATTAAGTTGTCTTTAGGAATGAATACTGGTATTAACATGATCCCTGAAGCTATTTGATCAAAAAGAATTCACTCTATCGAATGAGTTTTTTCAAAAAAAAAAGATTCTCACATGCTACTACAAAGAAATGCTAACACTCTAAAGGTTATACAGAGTTGAATTTTAATATTTTCGAGGAACTGGACAGAACAAGGCCAACCGCAGCTTCACACTGTACCTTTCTGAACTCTGACGATAAAGGAGTGAGTTTCCATGGAGACGAGCCGGCAGTAACCGTCAATCAAGTCGGCCAAGTTCTCCGCCAGGGTGAGCGATGCTGTTGTAACTGTGAGAGGCTGCATGCACACACACACACACACACACACACGCACACACACAGAGGCAGGCCTGTTACAGAGAGCCATTATCTCAAAAGACACACACATAACAAACCCCGTGGAGGTTTCCAGCTGCACCTTACGTCAGACGAAAACATCTCTCCCACACAAAGTATTTGTGTGTGCACAAGTGTGTGCGTGTGTGTAAATCCAGTAACATAAAAGCCAATAAAAACAGAAAGTTCCACTCTTATCTGTGTGTGTGAAACGCTTTCCTTGTGAGTAAAACCGTGATGCTGGACGTATTCAGGGAAACTATTAGTGCATCTCTGGGTCCACTTCAGCCAACAGCTAAAAGAAGGCTGACAAATATGGCTACGTGCCAAGATGGGCAAAGCTTATGGCCACTAGAGGAGAGAAGAAGAACTTAGTAAACCTTGAAATCTTGTTTTTATTTCACAGTTTTGCAAAGCTTAAGCCTTGAGTTTGGAAAACCTTTTAGCAGCAAATAGTTTAGGGGACAGCAGCTCAGAGTTTTAGAGTTCTGTTTCAGTGTCTCAGGGACCTAAAGACACAAGTTTTTCCACCAAAAACTGCATAAACACACCACAGTGTTACACAGCCAACCTAAACCTCTTCAGATTTGTATGTAAAAATAGTTAAATACAACAAATGTCAATGTTTTTTTTCGGCATTTCTTCCCAAACTTTGCACAAGGGAAGATTTCTCAACTACAACTAAAAAACTATTTGTGTTTTTTTGTCTGCAACTAAAAAAAAAGAGAAATTTACAGCTTGAATTTAAGACTATTGATTTTAGATGACATAATGGGTGATGCCTGTCGTCTTTTCATCGTACATATAAATTAGATCAGGTGACTAAAAGGTTGTGGTTTATCAGATAGTGTAGTTGTACCTCAGCAGCTCCGGCTACGTTCAGCTGCAGCATGCCTTTCCTGTCCTTCTCCTCCATAGCTGAGTACTGGATGGACTGGACTTGGTTGAAGTTTGCTAGATGGGTGGGCTGGGAACAGAGAGACACACAGAAGAATTTAAAGTTAAGCATGTTAACTATACTAATCGCTGGTTGTATGACTTAAGCTTAGCTGTCAAGCCTCCTATGATGTACAGTGCATTAAACCTGGCTGTGTTTTACTCTGCATTTGTGATGGAAACTCACCGTGGATCCCTTGTCGGTGAGGTAACTGATCCCTTCCTCTGGCCCGATGGCTAACTCTACCTGGATCACCCAGCTGGACTGTTAGAGAGAGGACAAGACACGAGTTAAAACAGAAAGAGAGTGAAAGAAGAAGTTTAAGGTAGGAGGAGAAGGAAGGGAAGAGTAGGAGGCATCACTGATGGATAGGTGTAAAACCTGATGCCACCAAAAGGGGTCAACCTAACACAGTGAACAACAGCTTCCAGGGCAAACCAAAGCACACTGATCCAGAACAGAAGAAACCTACCCCAAGGGCACATTTGAAGCACTCCTTGTCATAGCGGTAGATCGGTGCGAGTACCTCCAGGAACTTCAGGATGCACTGCTCGTCGTTGAGATTGGCCACCTGCTTAAACGTCTGCTGAATCAACTTACGGAGAGTTTTCGCCTGGAGAGGAAAAGGGATTAGAAGAAGAAATTTACAATAACAAACAGACTTTCTAAAAATGTTTTCCAGCTGATACAGCAGAAAATGTACAACTGGGAGCAGAAAGTGGAGGCGGTACAGGATGGGAGTTTGTTCTGTGTGGGTGCAGAGTGACAGACACTAAAAGACACATTGACTGACACATCGATCGACTAATAGTCCACTCTGGTTCCAAACAGTCTGACCTCAGTGCTTCATTCTCAGCTCAGATCAATATCTTAACAAAGACACATTGGCACTGCTAGTTACTCAATTAAACACCAGAGTCATTCACTGAAAGCGTATTTTGCATCTCACTGTGTGTAATGCAGTTTTTCCAGAGTGAATTGTGCTCCGAGTTCTGTTTTGCCCGCCGGTATTATAGTCACACTTTTAGACCTGATTGCTTTTTTTAGGTCTGTTATGTCACCACAGAGTAGACAGATGGGGAAAAAAATCCATCTAGGAATCATATTCTGTCATGCACAGTCCTCTCTATATTGTATCACTCTAGATTTATAGATGGACAATACACATACAAGCATACATGTATTCATACATGCATCTTAGTATAGCCCAACACACACTCAGTACATAGAAAATACATGTTGAAACAAGCACACATACTACACGGGCAATCCCTGGCTATAAATAGTTCGCCATATAGATGAAGATAAAGATTAAGGGGAGATTTAGTCCCGTATGGAGCAGGCTTTTAAAAAAAATGCACGGATTTACAGTAGACTAGGGCAGCACATTAAGGTCAAACTGCACGACTTAAATGAGCAGTTTAACCATTATAGCTACGGAAGCACCAGCTCATTGATTAATTGACTGGAAAAGCCACTTTGGACACGAGCTACTGACGAACCAGTCTCAAGCGGGCCTAACCAAAGGTCACCATTATGATATATTGGGATATGATATATTAGATGTACGAGGTTTTTAAGGCCTTTGTCTGTTCTAAACTTAACCATTACAAAGACAGAATGATTCATATATGAAGTGAAGCGTCAATGTTTTTCTGTGACATTGTGCGTGGAGCCACTATTGATCTCTATTGCTATTTGTATGATGCATCTGTAATTAAAAGCAGTAATGTCTTTATTACACTGTCGCATCACAAAGCTCTGCTGCCAGCTGTCTACATGTTAAGCCTGAAGGAATGAAGAAAACGACAAATACGCACACACACTCACACATAGATTGTGAACCCCCACATGTGTGTCATTTCAACAGATGTCACAATGCACTTAGACTTTTTTTTTACTATTCTCTGCACCATTACAGAGCATAGTGTGTGTGAGTGCTCGTCATGCTCCTGATAGGATCACTGTTTTAATTCCTAGAATTCCACACATACACACACACACGTATGAACACACTGGGATATTGTCTGTCTGAAGTGTCCACCCTTCCTGAGAGGAAGTACTGCAAGTGGCTATCGCTGTCCCCATCAGCGTGCCGACTGTCGCTGTAGCAACAGGCTGACCAGTTATGACACTCTGCTGACCGGTCATGGCGCTTATTAGAGTTTTCAAGAAAACAATCAATTCATTCACACCAGCAAGGACACGGTGATGGTTGTGTGTAGCAGAACTCTTGGTGATTTGATTTAGTATAAGCTGGAAGAATTTAGGAGTTATATTTCTAGTTTGGGTTCATTAAGCAGCTTTTACACTGTATCAGAAAGTTTAGTAAAATAACTATTCGTTTTCAACTGTTTACTTACTTTTTCAGGTTATGATTAGTGAGACAGACATTTCATTTCTTTTCATGCCTGGAAAGTATTACTAATTCCCCACACATTTGCAGAAACAAGAACTCGCTTTGTTGCCATTGAAATAAGCTATCCATCACTAATCAGCGCAACGCTAAGATACACAAACACAGCATGACCCAGTTTGAACGACTTAAAGACATAACTAACGTGTTAAAATGACAATACATTTGCATTTACTGAACTAACTGACATTCAGTCTAACAATAAAGGAAGGAGTCTCTGTATATGTGTCTTTGCCTTTCTCCAGAACCTCATCTCCTTCACACTTGGTGGGTGCATTGGTGAGGATGTAAGTGCGTGCAGCGTCTGGGCTAAAAGCTGCTGTATGTCACAACAGTATGTTTTAAACCACATCATCAACAAAACTTCATCATTGGGAGTTTATAATAGCTTAATGACTGCAGCTTGTTCTAAATTTAAACCGTGTTTCTGCTGTGTATTTGCTGTTCTTGCTACAAATGACATCCATCACTTGCTCATGCAGCAATGTACATGTACACTTTCAATACCACACTTGTAAATTCTGTTTGCTCCTTATTCAAAGGACTACAATATTAAATGGGGAGTGAAATTGTTACCATAGACCTTGCCCTGATGTTCATGTTCTCTAGATCATCGTAAATATGGCACATTGTTAGGCCTGCTTTGAAAGATATTTCTTTTCTACTTTTCTCTTTAAACAAATGTTATTTATATCGATATTCAATATACTCAGTATTGATTTAATAAAGTGTGACATCATTTCATTGTCTTATTAATCTGACAAAGGAAACGAGCTGCAGGACTTGAGCTGTGGCTGGTTGATGAAACTTTGATCTTCCAAAGCCACCAAAGGTCGGTTTTGCTAAACCCGCTGCCCGGCCGGTCAATATGAATGAACAGACTCTGCTCTTTTATAACAGCTCACATCAGTCACTGTTTACTACCACAGCCATCTGCTCTGGGTTGTGTGCATGTGTGTGTGTGCTGTGTGTGTGAGTGGAGTCCATTGAGGGAGAATAATCCCATTAAATGACTACCATTCTCTTTCACCAGAGTGACCGACAGAAACGTAAATGACAGCTGTGCTCTGTGTGTGTGTGTGCGTGTGTGTGTGTGTGGGCCACAGAAAGCGCAGTGGAAACTCATCATTTGCTTTGCACCACCATAACTGACACTACTGGTTTACACTGATAATATACTGTATGATATAACATATTAATTAGAGCTGCAACGAAAAACGAGTCATTCAATCGCAGAGAAGAAGAAATTCATCTGAAACTGTTTGCATGAACGATAAATAGTTTCAGCCTTGAATCACGACGCATCAGTGCCAGCTTCTCAAATGTGTGGATTTGCTCTTTTTCTTTGTGTTACATGATAGCTATTGAAAAAAAAGGGATTTAAAGAGATGCATTTGGGAAGTTAATGGACTTTTTTCCCACATTTTTTGACACTTTCAAGACTAAACAAATGCTTGATGATGAAAACTATAACAGATCAATAATGCACATAAAAATACTCAAAGACGGACACAGACAACTCATTATGGCTGCAGGTAAAACCTTCAATACTGATTATTGTCAAACATTTTACTAGCTAATTGAATGGTCTTCTACCTACACCCCCCCCAAAAAAGCAATTCAATTTATAACTCTGACAATGGAGAAGCTTTTTACTTGCAAAATAATTTCATTTTTCGTTGAAGGATCAGTTCCTTGAAGAAACACCCCAACTCTTGAACTCACAATGTTCATTTAAATAACTTGTTCTGGCTTCACATTTATCAAGCTGACCGTGTGTCACGTACAATAAAATAATTTGAATAAGCTTTTCCTCACACACAACATCAATCCAGACATCTAAAATCAAGTCCGATTTGCCAATTAATAAATGTTTGACTGCACATGTGTGTCACTGTGTGCACCCTCGTGGCTTAATAAAACAGGCCTCATGGGAGGGAATTCAGTTGTGCGCCAAAGGAGTAAAAATGAGAGGAGAGGAGGTAAAGTAGGTAGGTGGGCAGCTGACAGGGCTTGACAGGCAGGGGGAGGTGGGCCCAGAAGGAGACGCACACTGACACCTCCCCCTCCCTCCTCATTGTTGGAGAGAGAAAGTGGGTTTAAACATGACCTGAGGGTCGCGGAGGCACACAACATACATACACGAGCATGCACAAACACAGTCTCTCTCCCTCTGCCGAGCATCTGTCTGCCCGCCTGCTGACATCGAGACCTTTTCGGGTCACTGAGCCTTTCTCGTACACACACACACACACACACACACACACAGACACACACACAAAGATCTTCCCCATAAACACGTGCCGTAAATTTATCACTGAGACAGACACTGCTCATTATGCAAGCACAGCCGCCAGCCATCACATACAAACCTACACAACCAGAGTCTGCCCAAATACCACTTCTCTACTCTAAAACTGACTCCACTTAATTAACATGACAGTTCATCTCCTAAATACTGTTGAATTACAACGGGAGATTTTCGAACCATCAGTATGAAACACACTTCGATGGAAACTTTAATTACTGATTGATACTACCAAAATTGACTGGATTACCTAAACAGCAGAGAACAACCACATTTGTCTGGCTACTTGAGCTCTGCTGCAGTAAGTGCTTCTCTGGATAAAACTTTTTATCATTTCAGCAGTGAAAATGGAGAACCGGGACGACAAAAACAGAATATGCTCTGCTTCACTGAACCCAAACACTCCCTTTGGTTAGGCATCATTGACACTAAATACGAGGTTGATTGTACACAGGGAATTAAATGAGACCTGATCAAGAGTGAAGCTGGCAGAAAAGCAGTTCTTCACTAGCCGTCTTTTCTTTACGTACTGTTTTGAAGTATCTGAACAGTTTATTGGTGTTGGCTAAACTTAAGAAAACGTCCACAATTTCACAAAAGAGTTTTTACGCTCACTTGAGATGGCTTTTGACTTTTTTAGGAAAGGAGCAGGACTTTCTGACAGCAGTGTCTGAGAGGAGGATGCTGTCCAAGATGCAAGTCAACTCGGACAATGTCTCCTACCCACTCCACGGCATGCTGGTCAGCCACAGGAGCTCATTTAGTCACAGACTCATCCTACCAAGATGCACCACAGGAAACCATTCCTGCCCGTGGCCATCAGACCATATAACTCCTCATTCAGAGGGTCAGACTTTCAGAGTCAATTGACTGGATTCATTATGTTTCAATGCAAACAGTTAACGAGTATCTCAGTTCACTTCACTCCTTGAGTTCACAACTCTCCCCCATCCCTAACCCTCTTTCACCCTCTCTCCTGCATCCCTGGATATTCTAAATTGTCCCCCAAATAATTCAAATAAATCCTAACAAAAAAAAAAGAAAAAGAAAACATATTTCTGCACGTGTGTGCTTCTACTGAATTAATTACACTTGCAGTTCATTCCGGCTGCTGCTTGTTGCTGTTGTACAAACACTTGTGGTTTTAACATCGACAGGACTAAAGGTTTCTGAAGGGTTTTATAGAAAGAGAAGCAATTCATTGATCATTTGCAGGAAAGTCAATTCTTTCAGCAGCTACAATCACAGGTAAGACCCTACATCTAACACTGAACATAACAGGAGTACTGAATCTGACTAAAAACTCAGAATGAGGTTTGAAGGTGTTTGTGAAATGTGATGTTCAAATGTGTGCAAAACTGTCAATGAAAACGTAATGTCTTAATACACAGTGTTCAACAATGTACAATATGATGGGTTTGTCTTGAAGAAAACATGTAAAAATGTAAAAATGTACAGTGTGAGAAATGATGTAACATGTCAAAAAAAAAAAAAAAAAGCAATATAAGAATCCATCAAAAACATCCATCCATCATGTACGCATGTTTTAATTTGTTTTCTTGGGAAAAGCACATTTCACAGCTATACTGTCTACTTAAGTTTATATTTTAGGACGTATTTTTTCGACTTGTGTTTATATTTTTCAGTCACATTTGCTCCTTATGTTTATCTATATATTTTGTGCTGTTTATGTTTCTAACTTGAATGGGAGCAACTGTAACTTTAGCAATTTCCCCTCATGGATCAATGAAGTCTTTCTGACTCTGAAACACGGCTAACACCAGCTGATATATAAATGAATAATTACATGCTTTCTATATTGGAAACAAGTCTTCTTAAGACATTTCTGCATTTTTGCCAAAGTTTTGTTTGTGTCTTCTTCAGGGTATTTCAGAGGTTAGCAAATGACGGGTTTTCTTCTTTCCAGCTTCTTCTACTTTGCCTATTACAGCCGAGTAAAACGTAGCCTTTATCACTAGCTTCATACACTACTGTGTAACTTAGCTTGTTTACTCCAAAGCTGTTAATGGAAACCAACGTTAATTTATTTTGACAATTATAAAGGAATCATGGCTACCATCCAAAACTACACTCATCAACACATGTACACGAGCTGTCACGTTAATACTCTTTCTCTGACTTGCTTCCATTGATGTAAACTTTATGAGTTAGCTGACCATCAATTCAAACTTGATGAGTCTTGGATTGTTTCACACTTCATCTGCTAAAACAGACAGGGCCTGACAACACATCAAGCAACACATCCAGAGACTTGGCTCAGAAGAAACTTTGCTTACACGAGTAAGCTGCCTATAAAACTCGGAGGTTTTGGTAACTGAGCAGCTCTGGTGGCGCAGATGGAGCATTGTCATACCAGCTGCTGAGTGTGGAGAGTGTTTTACTTACTCATCATGCAAAAAAAACACCAAGGTTTTGATCACAAACCCTCTTTTTGGACTATTTCTTGCACAACTACCTCAAAACAAAAGGTGGAGACAGTGTTTTGCAGCAGCCTTAGGTGTAATAACACATGGACTTTTCTACGTGAAACTCATCATCTCACCTTGACGGAATCCAACAAGTCTTTAGGGAAAAACCGCCTCAAACCAACATCTTTCCTGAAAAGAGAAACAACAGAGTGAGTGAGAGACACAGGAGGAAAAGATCAAAAATGTTTATCATGCTGTAATTACACAGAGGAATGTTAATTAGCAAGCTCTTTTGTCTTTATCTGATCTCGGCAGCATATTTCTCCTCTCTCTTGAGATATTACTAACAGCTACAGACAACTACAGCTAGGCAGACAGACAACTCGAGACGAGAAACAGAAAGCTATGACTAAGTGCTGACTAGAGAGCGCTACTCATCTTTTCCTAGAAGATGGGGGCTGAAGAAAAACAGAAAAAGTCAGAAAGGAGAGATGGAGAGAGGCAGAAAGGGGTACAAAGAGGGCGAGCGCAGAGACAAAGAAAGATGTGCGGCGCTATAACAGGAAGCTACTAATGACTCATACTCCTCTGGAGACAAGACAAGTAGAGTGAAGACAGAGTATGAGAAAGGCTGGAAGCTTACATCATCTTCTGTGCCTCCCGTTTCCCCAACACATGTCAAATAATTAATACAATACTTGTATAACAGTTGGATGAATGTACACAGGGTGAAACAGGGTTGAAAGTTCAAATTAAGAGCAAATTGTAAGTTGCAAATCCCACAAAAATGAACTAAATAGCCTTTCAGGTGCTGTCAAAATTCGTCAGGACACGTGAGTATGATTTAACTGGAGGTTTATGAAAGGATAACTTCTGTGTGTCACCTCTAAAACTCTTCTCTCTCTCTCATCAAATCAAAGCTGTGACTATCACATAAGCAACAATAAGTACAAACAGGCTCTGAGAAATTACGTAACCAGGCTGACCTCAGAGAACGAGCGCTGACAAAGGCGCACTGATTAAACGCGTTGCATTGGCTCCCAAACCACAAGCGCTACAGCCGTGCACTGTACGCTCAGGGGCAGACGACTAGAAAATGCAAACAAAAACCAGCCTCCTGTTTTTAGACCAGCGCGAACCTGTTGACACAAACTCGTTTTATATTTGGAAAACAAACTGAGAGCTTGTATATAAAAGCGCAAATGGTGACAGAGTTTAGTCTTGAATCGAAGCATCTGTAACACTTCATTTCAGAGTTCTGTTATTTACAACACGATTATTTATGTCCGAGGATTTATTATGAAATAACTTGGTAATTTGGAACTCCAGTCATTTCATTTAAAGTAATCCCTACCCGTGTAAATCAGTTGACACGCAAACACTTAAAAACACAAGAGCGAGGGGTAAAGTTTCCAATAACAAGGGGCTAATAAATTAATATTTACTTGGGCTTTAGTGGGATGTTTCATTCAAAAATATTTTGCCTTCATGTAGTATCAAATTATAACACTCTCCACAAGGAAACATCTGGAAAGGTCTTACTGGAAGAGGAAGAACTAAAAGCAGGGGTCAAAACTTTTAAAACAAATGGATGAAATAATTTATTTGTTAAGTTGAACAAAGAGGTCTTTGGTTTTTCTGCCAGCGATTTAAAATTATTGCAGATATGGGCCAACTAGAGCCAACAATACCCAGAGTGTATTGGGAAGTTTTGGCCACGAAGGCACAACAAGGGTCCAGCAGCTCCTGATGGCCAACTGTCAACTTGCTGTATCAAAGCCCCAACAGCACTTTCCATCTTCCTCTTTCGCTGGTTTAAAATATGTATGACACAACATCTTTTTCCAATCAGCGGAAAGAGGCTGCAAGGGAGAGACGGAGACAAAACAAAGAGGAAGAACGCAGGAGGAAGAGCAGACAGAAATAGGGGATGGGGAGGAGAACTCGGGAGATGAAAAAGAGACAGAAAAAACTGAAGGAGAGACAGCGAGCATTCTTCTCAGTTAATTGGAGAGCTCGTTAGGCTGATGGGCAGAAAGAAAGACATCAGTGGAAGAGGGCAGCTCATTAGAATCAGACCGCGTTAGAGCTGGGCCTCATTTAGACCTCAGTTTGTCAATTCTTCACTGACGTCCATCTTTCAGAGCGCCCATTGTGGGACAACACAGGAAGCGTGCAAACATAGAACAACTGTAGCTGGACTGTAAGAGTCTCTTTATCACCTGCAAATATAACACATGGAGCTGTAGTTGGGCTGCAGCTCTGTCAAGCAGCAATTTGCAGATGTGCAGATTCAGTGTCTCCCAAACTCCTAACGATCTGATGGTGTTCTGTTGTAATCGTGTACCGACATACTGTGTGTATTTTTCCTGATTTGCAACCTTGACTGCTCGGTTACAAAACAAGTTTCCAGGTAGGATGTAATTAAGAGGGATTGTTGTGCCAGAGAGGTTGCGAGCTAGAATGAAAGTGAGAAGCCACAATGATGCATGGAGTTCTGTGCTCATGAAGAAAATACTTACTCCAATAGTTCATAGTTGGATTTCTTGTCCAGGGCGTTTCCTCTCATCTCTTTGAAGAACCTCCTGCAACGGAAACCGGTGGGACACAAAGAAAGTGAGGTCACTGACTGCAGACAATGACATTAAACGGTCATTTAAGGGAAGCTTTCTTCAATGAAATAATTTAAAATTGTATTCAGTTCTGCAAATATTACAAAAGACACATGGCAATTAATTTAAATCAAATATAAACTATTTGAGCAGCTGAAGGACAAACACAGACTCTTTAGCACGGAAAGAACTCAAGTAAAAAACAATACAACTGAAACTGTTACAGGGAAAATAATCAAAATATAATGTTTATTATGTGATTGGGTCAAACCCTCAGCATGTACAGACACGGACACGGCACGGTGTTTTACCTGATTTCTAGACAGCCCAGTTTGAGAGCTACATCTTGTTCCACCTGATCCCCAATTTCTGTCATGTAGTCATTCTTCACCTGGGAGACGAATACACACCACAGAGAAGTGCTTATTAAAACATTTATTTCTCAACATCAAATGGCAAGCCTTCTATCACACACACACACACACAGTCCTACTGACCTAGATTATCCAAAGACAAACACACACACAGCCTCCTAGCAGTGCCATATGCTTCAGTGCTGCCTGCTGGCACAAAATGAAATATGTTTGTGTGTCTGGGTGCCACCGTGTGTGTGTGTACCTGGTGGTAGAAGTAGTTGAGCGTCGGTTTGTCTTCTGTAAACTGCTGCACAAAGCCCTTTGGTAAATACCGGATCCTTAACTCATACCTTCAGAGAAGAAGAAGAAGACGATGGGTTATACAAAGCTGCACCAACGCCATTTTTCAACTTCAACAGCAAAAAAGTACTCGCTGACACTGGCAGCTTCTCCGCTGCCAAATCTTGCTGGTAAAATGAACTTTGGGTTTGTTAAGTAGATCGACCGGCTTTGTACTAAATACTTAACACATACAATGTGCCTCTAGTTAATTAATTAAGACATTCCAGTTGAATTAATAATATTTAGCAGAGAGGAGAGGAGAGGAGAGGAGAGGAGAGGAGAGGA